GAAGGCACCGTATGCAAAGGTACTGAGGTCAGAAAGAGTTTGCTATAATTGAGGACTTGACAGAGGTGACAGTGGCTGGGAGATGAGGATCAAAGGAAAGGAGGCATAAAATGAGGACAGAACAGGTCTTGCAAGATATTGCAGAGCAGGGGAGGCAGTTTGGATTTTGTCCCATGGGCAATGAGAAGCCATAGGAAACTTTAAAACAAATGAGTGTCATGGTTTAATTCATGTATTAAAAAGATTACCTTCAATTCTGTGTAGAGAGAGTGTAGCAAGGCCAAGGTACAGAAGGGAGACTGGGAAAAGGTAGTTGCAGAAATTTCATTAAGTGAGGTGGTGGCTTGGATGAGAGTTACACAGTGGAAATGAAAAAGAGTGAGTAGATTTAAGATCCATTTTAGAGGTGGTGTTGCCAGGACTTAGTAGCATATGGTAGGTGGGGGGAAGAGAGAAGTTCAGGTTAGAGATGATTTGAGTAAGTAGATGGTGGAGCCATATATTGGGGAAGGCTGGAGGAAGAAGAGTCAGGAGGGGACAGAAATCAGTGATTCAGTTTGGCCTTGTCAACTTTGAGATGCCCCTTAGACATGTGCAGGGACATACTAAGTAGATCATTTGTTAGAGGAGTCTGGAGATCAAAGGAGTGGTCTGGGCAGAAGAGGTATACATTTTTGGAATTGTTGGAATATAGGTTGTAGCTAAGACACTGAGGATACTGAAAGAGGGTGAAAATAAGGAAGAAGCCCCAGGAATTGTGGCCTAAGTGGAAGAGTCAGGTACAAAGGCTAAGAAGGGATGACCAGTGGGGTAGTTGGGCTAAAAGTCACATAAGCAAGAAGAGAATGTTTCTTTCTTTCTTTTTTTTTAATAGGAGAAAAACACCAAAGTTTTATTACATGCCCACAAAGTGCCAGTGATGAAATTGAGACAAGAAGAATGACCAAGGAAGGCAGTACATTTTAGACAAAGAAGTATAAATCTTTGACAATTCATGAGACAATTATGTTTTTCATCTTTAGGCACTAAAATTAGTAAGGAATTCTAAAGATGATTGGGTCTGGGGTTGTAAATTGATAAAAGTAACAATATTTGTTTATACAGAATTCTTGGACCTGAATTCTTTGACATTGAGAATGTCTCTTTACTTCCCGGTGTGTGAAGTGGTACCTTTCAAATAGGAGATTTACGTCCTTCTTTCTGGAGACAAAGGAAGGTCATAGTATTCTTCTCACAGTGGATATTTCTTAAGTAACTTTAATTCAAAATAATCAATATGTCACTGGGAAACATTTTGTGGTGGACTGCCCAAGGCCACTAGAGTTTCCTTCTCTAGAACTTCCCTGGAATATTCACACCCTAAAAACTGTGGTGGTAGTTTGTTCTGTCTCATAGAACCAGTTGTAGGTCCTGACAATGGGTCAGTTGGGTTAAACTTAGTTCAGGAGGTGGTGATGCAGGTGTGTTCCCAAAGTTAGGTCTTAGGTTCAAGTAGTCATGTATTAAGTTACAGGTATTTCTATTCAGATAAAGGAGAAACAATGGTTAACAAGTGTAGTAAATTATAAACCAGTTTCTCAGTTCTGGGTGTAGCCAATTGAGAAGATTTCTGACATCAGCGTCCAAGCATCTTTAGATGAAGTGAAGGCAGATAGTGAGAATCAAGAGGTTTTCCTGGTTTGCAACTGGTATATCTCTGGTGGCTTTTTTTCCTTCTTCTTTAAATCTTTATGAAAGAACATGTTAGTTGAAAGATGCATTACACACAATGTAGTTTCAATGATTTAAGCATACAGCTATTTTCATATGTAAGAAGAGAATGTTTCAAGGAGGGAGTGGTCAGCTGTGTTGAAAACCACCAAGAAATTGAATAAAATGTAGACTGAAAAATATCATTATATTTGAAAACATAGAGATAATTGGTGACCTTTGCAAGAGAAGATTTTTTTATAGTGGCAGGATGAAAACTATATTAGAATGCTAGGAAATATAAGTGAGAGCAGAATACATGGAAGAATGCATAGAAAAAAATTTAAAAAGTTTTGCTGTAAAGATCAACAGAGAAATAATATAGTAGCTAGAAAGACATGAAGAGTCAAGAGAAGATAAAATTTTTTAACAATGTAAGACTCTAGAGCATATAAAATAGTTGTCACTAGTCTGCTAAGTAGTGAGAGAGAAATAATGTAGAATAGAGATTGGCAAACTATGGCCCATGGGCCAAATTTGGCTTGTTGCCTATTTTTGTAGACTACTGGTAGTCTTTGAGCAAGGAATAGCTTTTTTATGTTTGTAAATAGTTAAAAAAATTTTTAAAGGAATAATATTAGTAATGTGTGCAAATTACATAAAAATCAGATTTTAGTGTTCATCAATAAAATTTTATTAGAACACAGTTATACCAATTAGTTTCTGTATTGTCTCTAACTGCTTTTAGGCTATGAAGGCAGAATTCGGATGTCACGATAGAGACTGTATGGTCAGCATAGCTTAAAGTATTTACTCTCTGGGGCTTCAGAGAAAAAGTTTATTGACCCATGGTGTAGAAGAAAAAAAATTATTAAGTGAGATTAAATTGAGAAGGGAAGGAGTCTGAGTCCCAGAAAGTGAGGGACTGGCCTCTCATAGCGTCAGGGACGCTTAATCAGTAGAGCTGGAAGGAAGATGTTAAGCATGAGTACAGATGTACAAAGTGTCTTGAGTTTGGTGACTGTGGGACAATATCACTCTCCATTATGCCTCTTTTCTCAATTACAGGTAGGTTACTTAATATAGGCATAAAGTCACCCTGGAAGTCTGACCTAAGCCTTCTTTCTCTCAAGAAAGAAATGGCACAATGAAACAGAGATCAAGGCATAAAACTCATGAACTTCAAGTCTCTAAATTGAAGTCTCAAAAGTGAAGTATAATGAAATATCTTAAACTTGAAACAATTCTCTGAGCTGGGGAAGGAAAGAGAGACTCTGAGGGAAAGCCAATTAGTTTGACGCTAATGGTTCTCCGAGGAGCTCTGTTCTTTCCCTTCTCCTAGGATTAGTCATAAGGGGAGGGAGGATATACCTCCCAAGCAATCTGGGGCAAATTCAAATGAATGGGACACAGCTTTGATCTTCTCCTTTGAAGCCTGGGAATCACATGACTTGGAAACAGTAGAGGAGATGGCTGCCTGGGGGACAGGGCAGAGAGAGGTGAGGCAGTCTGGCTGTAGCTACAGAGAATTGTGGTAGACAATCCAGCCATGCCATGGGGCCACTGCAGTCAAGACAACAGCAGTGGATGAAAGTATGGAAGTGCGTGGAAGCAGAGGATAAAAGACAGGGACCAAACATGAATGACAGAAATGAGGACAACGGAAGTCTAAGGAAAACCCCAGATCAAATGGGGCTTTATAAACCTTGGTGAAAGTCAGCAAGGATAGCTGAGGACCGAGAACCATGTCTTACTCGGGATGCTAAGTAACTCTGAAGGCCCCTTAATTGTTGGAAGCTACTACAAATGGGGCAGGTGTTGAACCATACATTGACTGAGTTTACTTTGAATTAGATTGACTGAATTTTCCTTGAAATTGCAAAATCCAATTTCTGCTCTAGGTGCCATAGGAGTTTTGGACAGAAACTAGGAAAAACACTTAAATTTTTTGCATACTTGAGTTTTGTGGTTTGAAAATTTAAAAATCTTAACAAGTTGAAAGAGAGAGGGGAGAGTTTGAAATTTTCAGTTATGCCCTCTGGAAAGAGAAAAACGTTTTTACCACATAAGTCATTTCTTCTTCCTTATACACTAAGTTTACTTGTTGAATCATAATTGTCATGTATAACAGCTTACTATGTGTGGAACATGATATAAAACACTTCATGTGCATATTTCGTTCAATGTCTACATTATTCTATGAACTTTATAATTCCTTACGGTTTAAGGAATTGTGATCATTTTATTAATGAAAAACCAAAGGTCTATAATATGTTAAATATTTTGCCAAATGTATTTGAGAACAGAATCCACTTAATCCCAAAGCCTTTCTTTCTCTTCTTTCTAGCTTCCATTTCTCCCAGTCAATAGCTATTAATAATGATTTCCATTTGGTTAAAACTGCTTTTTGGTGAGTATTGAGCTAATTGCTTTTAAATATTTAATTTCCCTTAGTCCTTGTAAAAAAGTCCATGCCATATTATTATTCTGATTCTTACAGATGAGCAAACTGAAGCTCAGGGATGCCAAGTAATTTATTCCAAATCACCCAACTAGTGAGCACCAGAGCCAAGACTTATACTAGTCTGTCTCAGAAACCCACGTTCTTAATACTATTCCCCTTCTACCACTCAGATACCTGAGAGTCAACTGTACTTGGAAACCTTTTCTAACAAAAAGCAAGAGTGATGACAAATCATCTTCTCTCTGTGTTAACTTAAAGGACATATACTGGCCATCCGCAAAAAATTCATGCCCCCTTCTTCTTGGGCACTTAACCAGGCTCCTTTGCAGCTAGCCAAGCCATGTATGATATGAGTGGAAACGGTATGTGTCATTTCCAGGCTTGGCCCATTAATCCTCCTGTGCCCAGGATCTGTCCCCTCAATCTGGCTGGATACAAATGTGGAGGAGACCCTAGGAATTGGCAGAGCCACAAGATGGAAGCAGCCGGGGTCTCCGAATGACAGCTTTAACAGAATCATCCCCAGAGAACTGATACTTTCTCAGGACTGTTATCTGGCAGGGGATGCAGAAGAGAGGAATGGCTTTTATTTGCCTATTTAATATTTGCTACAGTATCTTAACTTATTCTAAAAAATACGAATGGAAAAGGACATTTCAGGTAAAACACACCAGAAGGAAGGAGGGGAGCTATGCTGAAATCAGACAAAAAGCATTAGGTGAGATTATAGGAGGAACATTGTACCTATCTTGGAGACAGCATTCTGGCCATAATGCAGTTTGGGTGGGAACAAGCCCAGAACAACATTGGGAGGAGGAAGGTCAATTAAGAAGCTATAGTAGCGGCCTCACCAGCGCCGTTGCTAAGAGGCCTTGGATACCTGGCCGCGGGATGCGGGGCGGTGTCAGGTGAAGATGGTGGTCACTGGGCCTCAGGTAACCATGGAGAAAGAGCTTCGGAGCACCATTCTTTTCAATGCATACAAAAAAGAAGTATTTACCACCAACAATGGCTATAAATCCATGCAGAAAAGACTTCGGAGTAATTTGAAGATTCAGAGCTTAAAAGATGAAATCACATCTGAGAAGCTAATTGGGGTGAAACTGTGGATTACAGCTGGGCCAAGGGAAAAATTTACTGCAGCTGAGTTTGAAGTCCTGAAGAAATACCTTGACGGTGGCGGTGATATCCTTGTGATGCTAGGAGAGGGTGGGGAATCCAGATTTGACACCAATATTAACTTTCTTCTAGAAGAATATGGAATCATGGTTAATAATGATGCTGTGGTTAGAAATGTATATTATAAGTATTTACATCCTAAGGAAGCTCTAGTTTCCAACGGAGTCCTGAATAGGGAAATTAGCCGAGCTGCAGGGAAGGCCGTGCCTGGAATCATTGATGAGGAAAGCAGTGGAAACAATGCCCAGGCTCTCACCTTTGTCTATCCTTTTGGTGCCACATTGAGTGTCATGAAACCAGCAGTGGCTGTTCTGTCCACAGGCTCTGTCTGTTTCCCGCTTAACAGACCCATTCTGGCTTTCTATCACTCGAAGAACCAAGGTGGGAAGCTGGCAGTGCTTGGCTCATGTCACATGTTCAGTGACCAATATTTGGATAAAGAAGAAAACAGCAAAATCATGGATGTTGTTTTCCAGTGGCTCACAACGGGAGACATCCACCTAAACCAGATAGATGCTGAGGACCCAGAGATTTCCGACTACATGATGCTGCCCGACACAGCCACCCTGTCAGAGAGGCTTCGAGTGTGTCTCCAGGAGGGCGATGAGAACCCAAGAGACTTTACCACCCTCTTCGACCTGTCCATTTACCAGCTGGATACCACCTCCCTCCCCAAGGTCATCAAGGCCCACGAACAGCTAAATGTGAAACATGAACCTCTCCAGCTCATCCAGCCTCAGTTTGAGACGCCACTGCCAGCCCTTGAGCCAGCGGTTTTCCCTCCCAGTTTCAGGGAATTACCACCTCCTCCGCTGGAGCTATTTGACTTAGATGAGACGTTCTCTTCTGAGAAGGCCCGCCTTGCTCAGATTACCAATAAGTGTA